AAAAAAAAAACTAAATTCCACTCCAACTATCTTGGACAGGGAGAACACAGTAAATAACAGAGTAATAACTATACGCAGACATAATTGGTTAATGATAGAACTTACTTCCCATCATAAACAAAAACGTTTGTTAGCCCGATTCTTTAGTTGGAAACCTGAGAATAAACCAGAGTGGATCAAAAGTATGAAAAATAACATTTATTGGGTCACAGTTAAGTGTATCAGCTGGGCTCTAACAGACAAAAACCTCTCTCTGGGTCTCAGTGGGCAAAGAGCCCTGAGATCTGGGTGATGGGCATTATCTCCTGGGCTCGATCCGCCTCCTCAAAGGAGGACTGGACACAACCAAGTCCTATTGGCCAGTTAGCTCTGGGCATGAACAGGCCAGGTCCTAATTAAAGCAGATAACAGGAATGTGGTAACAAATGGTGTGTGTGTGTGTTGACCTAAAGACGTGTGTCTAATGTAACAGAAAAAGAAAAAGTCCTATTGGCTAGTTACCTCTGGGCATGAACAGGCCAGGTCCTAATTCATGCAGATACCGTTGGAATGTGGTAACAAATGGTGTGTGTTTGTGTTGACCTAAAGGTGGATCTAATGCAACAAAGAAAGAAAAAGAGAGAAAGGAAAAGAGAGAAGATTGAGTCTGTGGACACAGCCAGAGACTTCAACACAAAAAAATGTAGTTATAAAAGAAAATAAAACAATCAGTCATTTACATAGATCCTGTGATAGCATACAATGCTAAAGTGAGTAATTGTAGCCAAATTCTAACAAGTTTTTATGATCTCAGATCGTTTTTCAGTGAAGCCCAAACACTGGTTTGAAATCCATCCAGTGTGTTCAAGGTGAAACAATGTGGGAGCTTTGATTTTGATTTACAGCGTACAGGTCCGGGCGCCGGCCCCTTTAAACGCGGAGGGGAGCTGTGCTCTCATAAAATATGCATGAGGGCAACGTGTGTTAGCATGAGACACGGTTCCTCCGTCCTCCGGCCCTGGTCACGAAAGAAGCGGCGTGGGCTCAGCCAGGAGAACATAAGACAACGGTTAGTGGCGTAAAGACGCCATTAGGGGAAAGATTTTCCATTCCCCAGAGATGGGATGTGTGGGACAGGGCTGTGAAACGTCACAGAGGTTCATTTAACCCTTTAAAGCCTGATCCAAGAATAAAACAAAACAGAAAATTACTTTTTTTTTAGTTTGAAGTCTTTATTTGGCCTTTTAACAAAATATGAAAAAAGAAAAAAGAAAAATATCATTTTTATATTAATAATTTATTACTATGCGATAGGTCAAGATGATTTTTCGTGTAGTCTTCTGCCCCCTGTTATCAGGTGTATCTGATTGTGTACGATAGGATTTTGAGCAACGTTTTTACCATTAGATTAAGCAAAAGGTGTCAGACGCAAAACATTTCAGAAAACGTATGAATCAGATATGATACATTTGGCATTACAGGGTTCAATTCTGTTCAATTTTATTTATATAGCTAGCTCCACATCACAACAACAGTTATCTCACAGCTCTTTCCAAACAGAGCAGGTCTGAAGTTATTTACAGAAGCCCAACAATTGGGCTGGGAGGTGAGAGAGAAGATGGAGGGAAGAGAGAAGTCCGGGGGGGGGGGGGCTTCAATACACGGGGGACCACGTACCTGCAGGCGAACGCCAAGGACTCTCCGTCCTCCCCTCATGCATCAGCTCACCCCCCCCCTCTGTATTTGAACAGGGCTGAGTTTTCTCATGGCTCCTCATGCATGTCCCAGCTCTAATGTACCTAACGTCCTCATACCTTGTTGTAGATCAGGAAGAGCCTCCCGTAATCTGACCTCAGATCAACGGCCAGTTGCTGGTTTTTACTCCGTTATTATCTGGCAGAATGGCATTAGCTTAGTCGCGAACAGCAGGGCACAGAATGCTCCTAGCTAGCTGCCTCTGCTAGCTTGTAATGTGTATGTATCCATCATTAACTCATTGACTGCCAGCCATTTTCAGAACAGAGAGTCCCATACTGCCAGAGTTTTTTGAGCATTTTGACAGATTTTTCAAGAGCCACAGAATAGTTTGTGCTATGACTATGTAAACACCGAACACACCAAAAGAAAGAGTAGAGTCTCTTCTTTCATCAGGAAAAGAATTGTGTTTCTACCTTATTCCGTTCTTCCTGGACTTGCGTCTCACCGGCGACATGTTCTCTCATAGCGAACCGTTACCTTTTTCTTATTTGCCTACAGTCTATGCTCATCTCCCATCAAAAGTGGCACTGCCACCTAGAGGGTCAATTTGTTACTACAGACTCTGTCTAGAAGCCTGATATTTACGGACAAGCTTTAGCAGATCGTCCCCCAGCCACTCTCGTTGAAAAACATAAAAGACATCTATAGACGTCTTTGGCAGTCAACGGTTCTATTTGAATTGACGTCTTTGGCAGCCAGTGAGTTAAATGCGTTTTTCTCTGAATCTCTACAAGTCCAAATGCCACCATAAGCGTCCGGGCACCGAACACGCGCCGTTCCCCTCCTTTGTCCCCTCTTATCCGTGAGTAAATAGTTATCATTTGAGTTTACGTGGGGGAGATTAGGCCAAACCAAATCCGTGTGCACTCATTTGGGCTGTTTTTTGTCCTCTGTGCCGCAAAGCTGAACAAATGTAATCTGGTGGAGGGCACGACGAATACCGCAGCCAGACCGGCTCCAAGATTATACCCCAAAGCATTTTATGTAATTCGTAAAAGGATCTGTGCCTTAACTGGATCTACTGGCCAGAAACTAGTTTAGCTGTCGTGCCGTTCCATTTGTTCATGATGTAATCCTTTTAATTCTAGGACCGGCTTTGTCTGAATGTGTCTCCTGCTGTTGCTCTGTGCAACAAATATCGGGGTTTAAACCGATATTCGGTTTAAACCGGCTGCAGTTTGATGGTATTTAGGGACAGCAAACGGCGAGGAGCTACATCACACCCTGCTGTGGAACTTTTGTTTTGTTTTGTTTTTTGCTTTATCTCAATGGTTGTTTGTCCTAAAGTGCAAAAAGGTGCCGAAAAGATGCAGTGATTCACCCAAAGACCAAAATCCCGACCCCTCTGGAAGGCCCCCTTTTTTTGCTCTGCAGCTTCAGAACTTTGTCCTTTTCTGTGCGCTTTTTTTAAACAAAAATTATTGTATTTTCAGTCGTTCAAGTTCCCTGCGGGATCTAACGCTCTCTGTTTTTTTTCTTTAGACCAAACCGGTTGCATTTGCCGTCCGCACAAATGTCAACTACAGCCCGAGCCATGACGACGACGTCCCCGTACCGGGCATGGCCATCTCCTTCGAGGCTAAGGACTTCCTCCACGTCAAAGAGGTGAGTGACCGGCTCCCGGTGGGCGTTGGATTCCAAGAGA